CAGTGAAGAGCACATTTAAAAATTGAATCAAAGAATCGGTCTTTTTGTATTGAATGCCCAAGAATTGAATGTTTATTGCTGATTAATAATGAAGATTGTGTTCAAGGCATGAAGGATTGAAGAAAAATGGTCGCCGCTTGACTATGGGAAGAAATGGCTGTAGTCAATCGAAACCTTTGGATATTTTGAAGAAAACCCCAAAATGAAGAATAATGATAAAAGACTAAAATCGACAACAACAGCTCAAATGATTTATCAATGCCGTCAATTCCGCCCTACAATGTATATGAGCGAATATTAAATAGTTCCTCCTGTTAAAAGCAATTTATCACCTAATACAGTGAATCATAACAGAACATTAATTTTAATGACAAATGAAGCAACTACAATTTAAAGCAGGAATATCGGCCCCATCACTGACCCATATCATTAGCATCGTAATAATGGCGTGCATGAACTTATTAGCTTGCGACAATTAATCCTAATTGTTCAATGTTCAATTGTGTGCAATCATTCCTGAGGTGACACCGCATTGATCTCTTTATTTGCGAATTTACACTGGAATGTGCCAGAAGCAGCTTATGAATAAAACTTGAGAGAATCTGCCGGATAATACTGGCTGCAGGGTGTATGCAATATCAAAGAACGGTTTGCATCGAAAGGCATTGTTGAACTTGAAATCGCAAAGAAGAAATGCTAAAATGGAAGATTGAGAACAATAAATCCCATTACGCGATTCTATTGAACAAAGCCCTGCATGTATATCAACAGATGTTATATTTGGTGGGAGAAAACAAATTTCGATCGATAGCCGAGCGAGGTTTTGAAGAACTGATTCCACAGAGAAACTGCAATACAATATGCCCCAGAAAATTGGATACGAAGTTTGGATCAAAACGAAATGGGGTTGTTGTTTTCGTAAATTGAAAACGAAAATTGAACAACATCAATCATCGAACGCTAACTAAACATGTGATTTTAGCATTAGTCTTTGTTCGCTTGTTGTTTATTCATCTTAAAAAGTCGGCGAAGGTGAGCAAACTACGCCCTTAAGGGCAGCCTGAGCACACAGGGTTGAATATCTACTTTAAATGGCTTCGTTTAACTTTACGGCCACGTGTTTTATTGCTTTACGTGTGTCAAGTTGAGGGTGTAACGCCCTAGTTGTTGCTAGATTAGAATGCTGAGGGATTATCCGCATTCGTGCCAAGGGTGGAAAACAACAAAGCGGAATTAATTGCTGAAATCCTCAGGACAGGGTGAACGATGTGTTTGGTTCAACAAGAAAACGCCAAAAATTACCCTCAAACTATCAGGAATACGTGGGAAAATCATTTTTCCAGCTGAAAGAAGCTCGCTATATTCTTCAGTTCAAAAAAGTTCAATCAGTCATTATTGAGTGAGAGTGTTCCCTGATTTCATTTTTTCAAACATGAATACTTAATCTATGTAGAAATTATTTCTATTTTAGTTTTCATGTTAGTGAAGTTTCTGGTTCTAGTTCACATATTTCCAGAATTAACGCAAAAATTACGAGCTTTAACACCCAGTATTTCCGAATTTCGCATTGTTAATAAATCACCTTGTAAAATAAATAATTTTTGGACGGACGGAAAGGAAGAATAATAAATACGAGTCGCAAAATGGATGGTTTTAGCCAAATGCGCTCCCTTTTTTAAATCACGTCTTACAAATTAAAAGTTGTTTGAACTTTTGACCAATCATAGAAGAGAATTTATCGTGCAGAATCAGACAGTTTCATAAAAATCTCCCGTAATTCTGAGCTTTTCTAGCTCAGTAGCTCCCCGTCTCAGAATGGATTGTTAAGGTCAACTTCACTCTGTCATTTAAAAAAATCGCCTCTTCCAACCTAACTCAAGCAGCAACTTGAAATATTCACCATATTTAGAATGCAATTTTCGCTACCAAGTCAGAGAATTGAAAGTTTTATAAAAATTCCCCACCATTCTAATTTTTGCCGTTTTCTAGCCTTGTTAAGTGGCTAGAAAACAGACATTTTTTTGCGCAAAAACTATGAATGCTACAAGATTTTACAAAGAGCACAMGATTGTGAATAAATGATTTCAGTGCATCAACCAAAAAAAAATGAATTGATTCCATYCGCCAAATAAAAAGTTCTGGTAGTTTTTGTACCACGACACTCAAGAATTCACCACTTGTCCAAAACGGCTGAACTCRATTGTTTCATCAAAATATGAGTCTTACATAAGWTACAAATTCACAGCRAGTTTCACCAAAATACATCGTACTTACCATTCTCCCGACATTTCAAACCAGATAATTTTTTTGAAGAACTTTGAGCATCAATAGCAGATAAGCCAGACATTTTTTGTTAATAAAAGTTAGGGCAGATCGTCTCCTTTTGATTCAAAGAATATCGCAGTACCCTTTTGATCATGTGGTTACGGGACACCCTGTAGATTCGGAACGTTTTATAAACATCCCTCATAATCCTGATTTTTGCCAACTCTGTAAAAAACTGCGCTCTTCTTTAGAAAATTTTATCTTCCAAACCAACTCAAATGCCAACTTGAAATTTTCACCATATTTAGCACGTAATCTGCATATTCAGAAAGCTTCATCAAAAATAGTTGATAATCTTGAGCTTTGCCAACTTAGTAAATATCGGTCTAAAATTGGATGATTTTAGTCACTTTTTCCAAACTAAGGCAGGTAGAAAATTTCGCCATAATTAGAAAACACTTTAGTCCACAGATTCAGCAAGTTTCAAAAAATTCGCCTATAATCCTGAATTTTTGTGGCTTAAATAAGTATGGGTGTCAAGGCGGATGTTTTTACTGTTTCACTGCACTCTCTGCTGTAAAGAGTCGCATCCTCCAAACCAAAGCTAGTAGCAACGTGAAACTTTCACTAACTTTAGATTGAACTTGAGTGTACAAATGGGAAAAGTTTCATATAAATCGCCCTGGATCCTGATTTTTGCCACATTAGTAAATCTCGATCTGTATAGACGCTTCTTCTCAACTGTCTCATAAATGTTCCGAAAATTTGGCACTGTTGATGAATCACCTTGTAGAACTTATGTTTCTCCTGTTTATTTCAAATCGATTATTGTTTTTCACTGCAAACCAATTTTTGACTGCTTTATTTTTCAATATTTTTCCCAGTTGAAACCACCTGAATTATTTACAATATTTAGACAATTTCAATTCATCCTCAAATAAATGTATTCGGTATCTGTATTTATCTACATTCCACAACATTAAAGGGTGTTCGCAGGCTTTCAAACGGGATTCTGGATAAAAAGGGACAAAACCATCAGGGCGGCCCAACGAGGTTCTTTCAACTATTGTTGCCTCTAATTAAATCCGCACTTGATGAGGATGTTGCTTAATTCTTAGATTGTTTGGTGCTTTACTGTGACTGTTCGTTGGATGGTCGCGATTGTTACCGGCACTAATCAGAACTGAAAAGTGTTTGACAAACAAGACCGAATTACAAATCGTGAAGCTCAAAATGCAGAAATTAGCTTAAACTGAAATGGTAAAATCTTTGCACGTTCAAGTGTTGACTTTTCGTGGATTTAACTTCCCAGAGAAAAGTTTGGAGAAAACGTTACTGAAACAAGCCACGCGGCAACAGCCAGTTCGTATTTATTACCAACAAGACAAAACTTGTTTCCGTAAGCAAGATCTATGTTCCGAAGTTTCGGAAAGCCATCCATATCAATTAGAGTAGTTCCAGATGAGCTTGACAGGCCACTGGTGCATGCTGCCCCATTCTGTCCGCAACCTTTGAACGAATATTTTCACTATTTAAACCCTAAAAAGTGGGAAACTTCCATACGGCTTTTTCGATCAATTCCGCAATAAAGCGATTAGGCTTGATATATATTTTCATTAAGCCGCCCCAAAATATTATACTTAATGTTCTATTCAAGCGTCAGATCAGATGAAAAAGGGCTGTTTTTAGCGGGTTTTAACATCCCCAAATTGCCCAAGTTTCAAGCATTTATTAGTAGATAAGCTGCAGAAGTCTGTTGGTAAACGCGTTTCCGGGGTAATTACAAGGAAAAGGCTGAAATCGTTTTTTTTTCTCAGCGACGAGAAGCGCAAAGTGTATTTTAGAGGGAAGATGTAAATGGGTACAAACCATACTTTTGCGCAAGTGTTATTAACAAATCGCGTTCTTTAAACTGAACCAAGTTGCAGTTAGAAATTTTATATTTAATAATTAACCAATTTGCAAAATGAGTTTTTTGTATTTTCAATTTTGTCATTTATAATTGTGTTTCTACTTTTTTAGTATATTTGCTATTTCCACGAATTTTTAATATCAGAGATATGTGGTTTTTAAGCGTTTATTTCGGTTCATTTGATACAGTTTTGCTGAACACATTTTGAGCCAAAACAAGGCACAAGAAGTGACCTGCTGAGTATTTGACGTCTGGGTGCGTTGATAGACGTCATTCCACTGTGAGATTTGGTCATAACAATCACGTGAACTTTGACTTTGACTTTGACTTTGACGTACATTGCCATGTTTTGTGACGTGATTTGCGTTCAGTGCTGGATGGGAATTAATGCAACTGAAAGAGAAGGAGTTTGAAAAAGTTCTATTGCAAGAATTTGAGGCTCAATTAATTGTTTTTCTTGATTATATTATTTATTGAATATAAATTATATATTGAATAAAGGACACATTTTACGAAAATTGAAAAAAAAAGTTGGTATTTTTCCGTATGGATATGATTCGATTTTTCCACTACACTCCTGCGCTTTCCCCTCATTTGCGTATGGAACAAAGCCGGGGGATGTTATTTTTTCAAACCGTCTTCGGCATGTGTGGCGCCGCGGGTGGTAAATGAACGAACTTTTAACGTCTCGCATGAATAATCATTTTCTCTATGGGGTGTCGTTGAAACCCCAGCAAATTGAGGGCTTTTTTCGCATTGATGTGACATGGAACGCAATTATTCGGACTAGTCCCACTGTGTGAACTTGCCTGTAGCCACTCACCTTTGTTATCGATGCTAAACAGGCCAATTCCATCCCCTTCTTTAATCGAGTACTCCACCATTGAGTCCCCGCCGCGCGCGTCCAAATCAACAGCACTCACATTCATCACGAAAGTACCAATTGGCATATTTTCCCGCACACTTCCTGTTAGTATCGCATCACTAAACACTGGAGCGTGCACATTCTCATTAACATCCACCACGTTTACGGTCACTGTTGCCTCCGAAGTCAAACTGGGGTTGCCCCGATCGTTCGCAATCACCAGAAGACTGTGAACTTGCCGTTCCTCAAAGTCCAGATGTTTGGTGGTGCGAATTGTGCCCGAGAGTTTGTCAATTTTGAAGATCCCTTCGCTGTCGCTGTCTTCTAAAGCGTAGCGCACTTCGCCCTCCGGCCCCAAGTCCGGATCGGAAGCGGTTACAATAGCTACGACTGTACCTGCAAAAGAAACGCTTTGATCCTGCTCGAAAGCTACTCAAACGGTCCTCACCTATGGGAACGTCTTCCCTAATTTTCACATTATAGTTGGGTAAGCTGAATTTGGGAGCATTATCGTTGATATCGTCAATGGAAATTCGCACAATGGCTTCGGAAAATAACGGAGGATTGTCTGGGCCTTTGCCTCCATTGTCTGTGGCTCGAATTTTCAGCTCGTATAGATCTTGTCGCTCTCGGTCCAATGCATGGGCAACTGCAAATCACGTATAAAGGGTTTCAGGTAAAGTCAATTTATTTAAAGCGTGTTGCGCTGCTATTTTGTGCAAAATGTGCCTACAGGCTGTATCTCGATGAAGAACGAAGTTTGATTATGGTTCTGAAAAAATTGTCATTGAGTTTTGGTCGGAAATATCCAAATGTGCTTCTTTTCCTAAAAAAAACGCACACTGCAATCTATTCTCTAAAAAATCGCCTCATCGAAACGAAAGCAGGTAGCTACTTGAATGACATAGTTAGAAGACACTTTGTCCTACAGATTCAGAAAGTTGAATAAAAATCGCTTCTGAACTGTTCCAGTTTCGCGTTGCCAGGAAGACGCTCACGTAAAGTTTAAACGATTCATTGAAACTTTCCGAATGTTTTTTTTCTAAAAAACACAAATTGCTTAAATTGTCTGTAATTCTACATCTACATACATTTTTATGAAAAGGAAGCAAGGAATGCAACAAACTCAACAACTCCACAAACAATTTTTAACCGATCGTGAGCGTATAGACTTAACCACTTGGCTTGGAAGTTACTCAAATGGCCTTAAGAGAAACTTTGTCTTAATAAAACATTTTTAAGTTCAGAATTTCGCCACAATTTTGGTCTCCTTTCAGTTCAAGACTCACTGACGTACCGGCCTTGATAGAAGTCATTGAAAGTTTTACCTTTAAATCGTGGTAACTCTAAACTACTAGTTAAATTTTAGGAATTTTAAGGCTGTTTAGAAGAGAAATGTTTGTACTTTTCACGGTCATACAGAGCAAATCTCCATAGTTCTACCCAACATTGCTAGAAGATGCAATTTGTATGAATAACATGTTTTTTCGTTTAACACGAAGATTTTAGTGGCACGGTACAATTACGAGATTATAATCGAAAAGCAGATAAAATTGGCGAGCAAAAATGTGTAAACCCTCGATTTCTATATTTGTCTCAGAGTTATTGCCAAATCAATAATTTGGATTCTTAATGCTACAAACTGTCTATGCTAGCAATGTTGGCTACAACTATCGAGATCTACTCTATAAGACTTGACAAGAAAAGTGCTGACACCTTCCCAAAAAACCCAAAAAACTGAAAGTCAGTAAAATTCAACAAGTTCTGTTGAAATTCGCATTCAAAACTCTGAACGGGTTGATCAGAAACAATCTTCAGAACGGCATGTTGCAAAAAAGAAAAACTGCTCAAAATCTTATCCAAGTTCAAGAACGAATTATCAAGAAACCAGTGGATCGAATGAAACCAGATTCACCGCACATCTAATATGAAGGTTCCGTTTGTATTTTTTGAAACCCGCAAATGAAGAGCGGAAGCAAATGATCAGAATTGGGCATCAGAAGGACGAGATGCAAAATAGGAAAACTGCCCAAAATTTTACTCAAGTTCAAGAACAAATCATCAAGAAACCAGAAGATCGAATGAAATCAGATTCAAACTACATGTAAAATAAAGGTTCCCTTTCCATTTTTTGAGACCTGCACATTAAGGGCTCAAGTAAATTATCAGAAGCAGGCATCAGAAGGACTAGGTGCCAAAATGAAAAACCGCCCAAAATTTTACTCAAGTCCAAAAACGAATTATCAAGCAACCAGTGGATCGAATGAAACCAGATTCACATCACATGTAAAACGAAGGTTTCGTTTCCATTTTTTGGAACCGGCATATGAAGGGCTGAAGCGAATGTTCAGAAACGGGCATCAGATGGACGAGGTGCATCGTTGATTTATCAAAAAAAAAACTAAATTTGTCCGACATTCCTCAATTACAAATCAAATTCATTCCTGGGTTTCAGTCATTTATTGTCTCTATTTATCAATCAAAATACGTTTCGATGTATTTTTCCACCATCATCAGTTTTTATGTGTAGCGCTGTTGCTGCTTAAAGGCTTAAAGCAACAACGCTACACATAAAAACTGATGATGGTGGAAAAATACATCGAAACGTATTTTGATTGATAAATAGAGACAATAAATGACTGAAACCCAGGAAT